CTTATAAATAATAAAAATGAAAGAAAAAAAATGATATAATAACCCTTATCCAATGCTAAACTTTCTTTTCGGCTCATCTAATTGTTAATGTTAAATTGGTTTTAGCTAAGGAATCTATCACATGCCAAAAGCCTCAACCCAACAAGTTTACAATATGGAACATATATATATATATATATATATAACTATATGGCATCCAGAATTCTAAATATTTAAGAAAGAAAAGGGTCGTATACCATTATCCAAAGATGAGGGGAAAAAAAAGAGTAAAATCAAAACAAAATATATGGTACACAAAAGTAATCATATACGACTTGAAATTATGAAACGAAAAGAGTTGTCTTTATCAAACTTTTGCGAGATTACACCAAATGATGGTCTACGTGTTTGAACGAAAAGAAAATAAAAATGAGACGTCATTTATAACTAAAATTTTGTTCTTGAAATAAGACATTGTTACAGAAGTTGGTCTAGTTAGCATTACAATTAGTATGTGTTTATATGGATTATATGGAAGATGAAAAGTAGTGATTCAATTTGGACATTGATCGCTTCAAACTAACCACTAGGATTTATATATATATATATATATATATATGAAAAAAAATGAGTATAGGTATATTTATATATTAGGCAAAAACTAGCTTAATAATAAGAAAGTGTTAAGAAGAGAATCCAAGGGCGATGAGGCTTGGGTGCTTAAGAGAGCGACACGTGGCAGAGAGGAAGACAAGATATGATCAGGAGAAACTAGAAAAGCAGCTGCTTCCTCTTGTCCCCAATTATTTGAAAGGAAATGGGTGGCTCATGTCTTGATAATTAATTTTTCTTTTCTTTAATGCTTTGTACCTGCTCTTACACGCTTTAAAACTTGCCTCTGGCCGGCCCTGCCCCAGATATTATGGGTTGCGTTTTGCTTTCACCCAAAAAAAAAAAAAAAACACCCCAAACATTAAACACTTGCCATTTTTCTGTGTCAGCTTTTGCTCCCACATGTGTAGTTCCACTATACACACACACACTCTTCTTCTTTCTTAAGATTCTATTCCCTTTGTTTCAATTTTCTTTTCAAATTATTAACTCTTAGTAAGATACTAAAAATATACTTTACTTGATACCATGTACATTATTTTGTATTGTCAAATTTTAATAGATTCTGTTAGTTTTACACATATATATATTTTTTCTCCTCTAACGATTTCAATATTACATGACGCTTAAAAACACACAATATCGATGGGATACCTTAAAATATATATATTTTTTTTGCTAATTATCGGCTCTATATATGTGTGTAAATTGTAACCTTTGTCACTTTGGTAAACGTGACGCCAACAAGAAATGAAATTGTGTCGGTCATGTTAATATTATTATAAGATTATATATGAGAGTCTTTGAGACATTAATTGAATAACAAAAAGGTTCCGGCTTCTGCTTATCGTTTTATGATTCATGCAGAGTACATCTGCACGTGCGAACACTTTGACAAATCTAATGGAACAGTCAATTTTAAACACTCTTACCCTTCAAATTTTATATATATTTTGTCTACAACTTTGGAGACCGACTGCAAATCAATTCCTACAAACAAAGAAATAATGTCTCCATTTTGTTATAACCTCTTATTATTAGATTTTTAATTCAATTTGTAGTTAAAGTTCTGAGCAATTTACTTAATCTCTTATATATATATATAAATATATTTTGCCTCAAAAATTGTTCTTTATTATCTTTAGGGAGCCAAAAAGAGGTCACGGATTGCACAAGTCTAATTTCTAGTTTTTGGCCCTAGACTTTAGGTGTGGCAGTCCTATCCTATATGGATGAAAAGATTAAACATCATGCGCGTATCATTCACAATCCTCAATGAAGAAAAAAGTGTTGTCCTTCACTCTCATCATCTCCTTGGAAAACAATGAAATCCGTTCATTGATAATTTATATAGTATTTTTACATAAAGAACAAAAGATTTTTTTTTCTTTTCAATGTATTTGGATCGTAAAAAACAAGTAGCTAGCTTAGGAATTGTACAAAAATGAGCAAATTATATGAATGATAAGAATTCAGATTCATTAATGGTTATAAATTTTTTAGTAAATTATAAAATTTATTATAACTGTCGAATTAATATTTTATGTTAAAATAATGACGCTCGTTTGTGAATAAATACTTAAATAACTATTAAAATCACACCCCAAATTATATATTAATGTGTCGTTTTCGCATATAATCATCATTTTTTTTTTGTCAATTAAGCTTGGAAAGAGAGAAAATTAAGAAACGGGCCGGCAGCGCTTGATTAATTATAATACTGATTTTCATCGAAATTAGCTGTCAAAATAAGTTAAGAGAAAAGGAAAGAAAAAAAAAACATGCAGATAATTTGATTTTTCCTTTTTGTGTGGATATATATTTGTTTTAATTTTTTTTTTTTCAAATTACTTATGATCCGGTGGCAACACATATATATGATATATATCTTATTGACAAGTACGCACTGAAAACACATGCATGCATTTCATACAAGAAAATTTCAAGACGGTTGCAAACTTGATCGCCAATATGTATTATTGTTAGGGAGATTTCATATGTGAAATTAGTCCAACACATTTGAAGAGTTCAATTTAATTTAAAAAATTAATTTATTAGGTCTTAGGTCCTATTTTCAACAACTTTTCGTATAAGACAAAACACATATATATATTTTTCAACAATCTCCCCGTGCGTTCATCGAACTCCCCATCGAATTAAAGTTTTAAGTAGCCAACACATCAAAGCATTACACTCTCAACAAGAACGAACTCGAGCATGAGAAAGAGAGCCAAAACCATACGAGTCCACCAAATGCTCCACCATCCACACTTACAACTGCAACCGAGTGTGATCGCTTGACCCGAACAAACTATCGACTTTAATACTACTTGTTAGGGAGACTCTACATGCAAAACTGACCAAACACATTTCAAAAGCTCAACTTGACCTAAAAAGTTAAGATATTAGGTCTTTAGTCATTGTATGTATATAAATAATTTCACATATTTATCTACTTTTTTTATGAGATAATACACACATATATTTTTTTTAACAATTATTTCCGCATTTATTTATTTAAAAAAAAAAGTCAGGAAATAGAAGACTGCATGAGATAAATATATAAGGCCAATTCCAATAGTATTATTTGAGGAGAAAACAAATATTTTGGCCCACCTGACATTTTTTTCCTTGCTGTTGATTATTTTCTCCTGGTATTGAATATTTGACCACGACAATCCACGTGTAATATTGTGAAATAAAAAATGTTAGTAATTTCTGAGTATGTCAGATATTATGTTTAATTCTTGTTCCCTATTCACACCAACTCTTGTGGGGAGTCACAAAAAATAAATTATTAATTATGTTTTTGGCACATACAAAAGAAAAAGGTAACAAATTACTTGTGCTCCAAGAACGAACTCAACCACTCCCCTCCCCCGCTGACTAGAACATTAAGAAGGAAAAAAAGAAAGAAAAAATAAAAGGGAAGTCATTGTCGAAAATTCTCTTTGAAAGCAAATAAAATCCATGCAAAATTATGTAAAACCGCGTACAAAGTAATTAAGAACAATTAATCTAAATTTCAATTAGTATGAACATGTTGTAACACATATTTCTTTCGTTCACACCGCCACTATCATTTATCACGCCTACTAGGCTGGTCCACCGATAATCAAATTTGTCATTCTCTTCAATGTAAATAAATGTTAAAAAAGACTCGGTTATAACAACATAAATATTATATGTCTTAATTAGAATAGTTTCATAATGAAAATACAATTAATGCTGGTGAAATTAGGAGGTGGGGACAAACGACAAAGAGTGGGTGCACGTGCGTTGAGTCAAAGGTAGAAAGAGTCAACACTCAATATACGCGTGAAGTGAAATTGGGTAAACGGTGGAAGAATAAAATATCAATTGAAATTTATTTGATTATCATGATCTGATGAATTCTGATGAATTTTGATGAGCCAATGTGCCCCCACCTTTTGAAAAGCCATTTGCTTTACAAAATCCAATTTAATGGGGACAAACAGCCGCTCTACCAGCCTGGCCCCAAACTGAACCCCTCCGCATTCTGTAATTTCTCTCTGCGCTTTTCAACTTTTTATTTTGACCAAAATAAAGTTAAAACTACTTTTTAAATAGAAAAATAAAAATTTGGAAAAAAAGGAGATACCAAGATAGTGAATTGAATTTGAACCTTCCCATTCGTGCATTTCTTTTCGGCTCCCAACTCTCACAACAAAAGCGTGAGGGCACATAAATCTACATATGTACATATGAAACAGTTAATTTCACGAATACTTCTTAAAATTTATTCTAAATCTCATTTTGATTTTTGTATTTTTAAACGTCTCACAGTTAATTTTTAAGATTTTTTTATTTTAATTTTGGTCCCTTTATTAATTTGCCATTAAAATTTTATGAAATCTATGTAAATTAAAACAGTTAAAATTATAAAATTATCTATGAAAATTAACTTTTATTTTTTTGTACAATTTTAGTTTATAAATTTTATATATTCTCAATTTTGGTCATTAATTTTTATAAATTTTATCAAATATTTAACCTCAAACTAACAAAAAGATCAAAATTAAAATAAATTAAAACCTTAACGGCAAATTACAAGACATTGTAAGAGTTAGAAATCAAAATAAAATTAAAAGTAAACTTAAAAGACGAGATTAACCTGTAAAATAATTTTGCAAATATGTGTCCTTTTACTGAAGTGACTTTGTGCCACATACGAGGTCCACGTCTCACGTCTCCTAAACTCCCAATACTTTTGTGTTTGGTCCCCCCCTCCTTCTTTTCCTCTCTTTTTCTATCTCTCTAACTATACCTTTCGAATGTAAAATAATAGTTGTACTTTTTTGTTTTTTTGTTTTTTTAATTCTCCCGTGTCCTTATATATAACATACCACCGCCTCAGCCTATATGAAACCAAACCCAAGTACCCAATTTCCTCTCCTCTTAGTCTTATCCCTTTCTCTCTATATAGTCTAGCTATTATAAGCTCATAAATTGTATTCGTGTCACATAACAATAACATATAAATCATATATAGATATAGGATATAGATATAATATATACATAATGGGTGTGCCGTCTCCTTTGGCGAAAATGAGAAGCAAGAAAACAAAGGCAGTTGGGATTCCGACGGTCGATCTGTCAAGCGAGAGGTCAATGCTGAAAGAATCAATCGTCAAAGCCTGCGAGGAATATGGTTTCTTCAAGGTGGTGAACCATGGCGTGCCTTGGAATGTCATTGCCAGATTGGAAGAAGAAGGAGCCGGTTTTTTCTCCAAACCGGTTCAGGAGAAACAGCGAGCCGGACCGCCCACTCCTTTTGGATATGGCTCCAAAAACATCGGACAAAATGGCGACATGGGAGAACTCGAATATCTTCTCCTTCACACTGATCCTCTCTCCGTTTCCGATAGATCCAAAACTATCTCCAATGACCCTACCAAATTCAGGTATCAATATATGTGTATATATATATATATATATATATACATTTATTTAGGTATAATATATCAACATATGTATTTTTCATCTCGTTAACATCTATGTATATATATTTGCTCGTTTTGTTTCTCTTTTTCTTACAATTGTTTGTGTGTTAAAATGATAGGAAACATTTGATAAAAATGGTAGCTAGCCAGAGAGCTTGAGCTTTTTGGGTTCTATTTTTTCGGACTTTGTTTGTATAGGGTTCATGCGTAGTTCGTGGTGTGTTTGATTCTTTTTATTCTTCTTCTTCTTCTTCTTCTTTTTTATTATTTTAATTGTTTTGAATTGTTTAATATTGTTCGTTACTATATATATAGTAAGACTTGGACGTGCTTTATTAAGTAGAAGACTTTTGTATCAATTATGAGACTTCAGCTAAAAAGGAATAAGGAATTAGTTTATTGTTGATAGATCGGTGGAAAAGATTGTTTAGCATTAATGCTTGGTATCTTAGCTAGAAAAGAAATTTATTACTTTGCGCGAGAGTAGGTGGAAAAGAAATTGTTTAATCAATAGTTGTATTTAATGAGAATTGGTATCCTAGAAAAGGACATCTTTCCTTAATGGACAAAGAATGGAATAAAGAAAGAGAAACATTTATAGGAAAGCACATTCAATTTTATAGTACTAATGATGATGATCATCATCATCCAATATATTAATTTCTCAAAGCTATATCTATGGTCTACCTTATAACTGATCCTTCTTTCTATTCTATTCTATTCTATTCTATTCTATTCGTGTTAGTGTTTTCATTTCATATATTTTGACATGGGCTACGTGATATAAAGAATTTGTAGGCCTTTGAATTAGTTGCACGGCACTCTATCATGCCCTATTCATGGGCTCCATGTAGCCTTGACCTTCATGCAGACTCTTTTTCTAGTTTGAGGTTCACACCTCCTTATCAAAACCTATATATGGAGCTGTTGACCCTCTAAATAAAAAAATTAAAAAAGAAAGAAAGAAAGAAAAAAATCCGCCATTGCATTACTATAAGAAAAATGAGAAAAAGGAAAAATGGGTAAGGCAAGGCAAGGCTAGGCACTAAGCAGATAAGTTTGTAATTTGGGGTTCAAGTAGGAACACGTGCAACCCCATCGATCAGATGATCAGTTTGAGCAAGACCCGGATATGATCTGCCCAATTACCTGGCTTCAAATAACTTCAAAAGTTAATCCCGATAAAAAAAAGAAAGGGAAGAGAAAACTTTTCTTTCATTTGGCTAGCTAGCTTTTTTAATTGTCAGCCACTACTTAACATGCATTTTTATTTTATTTTATAATTCACTACTTATAACATGCATTATGTCATGCTTTTTTTACAAATAACCTGAGACCATCCTTTTAGATTTTAGGGTTTGTGAGTGAAATTTCTATTTTTTTTTTTACATTGTATATTTCCCTGCATTGCACCAAACTAATTTTCCCTCTCTTATTTCCTTTTTTTATGTTTTTTTTTTTAATTTTCTATTTGAAGTCATAAATGCATGGGGTCATAAAAGGAGTAAATTTGTGATCTTGTGTTTCGTATATGTGGGGGAAGCATGTGATGTGATCAATATCGACATGACCGCTCGGATCTTGCATGACTCATAGTCAAAACGCATGAACTGCCTTAAGGAAATTTTTTTTTTTAATAATTATTTTGCAATATATTCTGAAATATATAGCAGCACATTTGGACCCCATGTTGAACTGTATATGACTCCCACTTTCCGCGGCAGGAACATAATTAACTAGTGAGTGACATTGTCATTATGTGAACGTAGAAAATTAATCATAACTAAGGACGATTTAGAAAAAGTCACAAGGAAAATCAATAACCTCAAAATCAAATCAAGAAAAAGAAAGCCGGTGTAGAATCTGCTACATATCGATAATTACACATCCAGCCCATTTGATACTATAGTAGTGTGTGTGTGTATACACGGAAAAACTATACATATCTTATATATATAGTAGCCTAATGATCAACTTTAGTTACTCATGATGAATATACATATACATGTACTTAGGAGTTGATAATTTTTTTTTCTCTAATTCCTTAACAATATATAAGTAGTAGCGATTTGATATTGATACTGATATTGATATTGATATTGATATTTTTATTTTTGGTGGGGGGTGGCAGCTGTGCGGTGAATGATTACACGGAAGCGGTAAGGGAATTAGCATGTGAGATTCTTGATCTGGTGGGGGAGGGCCTATGGGTCTCCGACAAGTTCAGCTTTAGCAGACTGATCAGAGACGTCCAGAGTGACTCACTTCTCAGGCTCAATCACTATCCTCCTGTCAAGGATTGCATCAATGGGTGGGATCCACCCCTAAGTTCCCACCTCCATCATCATCATCATCATCATCAAACTCCTCATCATCAGTATAACAATAATAATAAGACTCCTCCTATTGGATTTGGAGAGCATTCTGACCCTCAGATCTTGACCATCTTGAGATCCAATGACGTTCCTGGCCTCCAGATCTCCTCGCATGATGATGGCTTGTGGGTCCCCGTCCCCCCTGATCCCAATCAATTCTTCGTCTTCGTTGGCGATGTTTTGCAGGTAATTCATATTACTTATATGCCAAATTCATTCAAATTATAATTTCCCTAGCCAGCTACTACATATATGTACTTTATATATCTATATATATATATATATATCCTCTTTTGCCTGCTAATTTATCCAAGAAAAAAATGCAAAATTATGATACTAAAACGTTACCTTTTTTTTTTTATGAAACATATGAAAATTATTTCAATTATTTTCATGCATATTGATTTATGTTATTAATTTTTTTTTTCGTTTTGGATTGAAAAAAAAAATGAAGGCATTGACAAACGGGAGGTTTAGGAGCGTGAGACATAGGGCACTGGCGAACACAATGAAGGGAAGAATGTCAATGGTGTACTTTGGAGCACCGGCGTTGAATGCGTGGATTTATCCTCTTCCAGAGTTGGTGTCGGCCGATAAGCCCACTCTCTACAGGCCCTTCACTTGGGCCCAATTCAAGAAAGCTGCTTACTCTCTCCGCCTTGGTGATTCCCGTCTCGACCTCTTCAAGATCAACCATCATCATGACGATAATAGCAATAATGATAATCATCCCCAGATATTAGCTGATTATTATACTTCTTCATAAATAAATAAATAAACAAGATTAACCAATCTCAACCAAGCACGTAATTAGGGAAGCACATCAGTTAATATTCACGTACCAAATTGTATATAGGCCAATAGTGATCTCAAGTTGATCAAACGTCACATAATTTGTTGCCTTTAATGGGGGGAAATTTTTGCAACAAAAGCTCGTCTTTTTTATATTATCATTATTCAAATTGTAATTAGGTTTTAGGTTGATATATATTACTATTTGGTAGAGATTAAGTGAGAAGCTACTACCTAGTACTGTAGTATCTGTAAGTTTTAGCCATTCAGTTAATATGTACGAGATATTATTTGTACTATGTGTAAGACTTTTTAGCGGAAAAAAAAAGTATTTGGTCAAAAAGGTCGGACTTAGACCGCGGGCAAATCAATGTCTCCAATAACTTTTACAACGTCAAATGCCAAAATATATATGTAACTTATGAGCTAATTAAGCACGTGACATGTATACATAAATATGTGTGTGTATACATATATACAATCCTTTGCCAGGCCAAGTTTTGTTCACAATTTTATGTCCACTTTCAGCTTGACTCTAGAGGGACTGAATCTGGAACGTTTTAGGAACATTAATTTACGTGTTTATATATTTTTAACTAAGACTATACCCGTTATGATCACCGGTCCAGGGTGGTAAGACCGCTTATTCTTCGCTAATACTTATAAAAATACAAGTTTGTATTGATATAAACATTCTCCTTTTTTTTTTTTTTTTTCTTTGAGAAAAAAGTACAACCTAAAATATGGCACCTGGCAGTTACCAACGCCATATCACTCTCAAACAGAGTTATATATAGCAATGGATGAGTAGAGTTAAAGAACACCTTTTCTTAAAGATGAGGTTATTAATTAATGGTGTGATTTTATATAACTATATATACAAGCCATTTCAAGCTCACCAAACTAGCTAGAGAAAACAAGGTAACAGTCACGGTTGTCATATCAACCAGCTGAGTTATATGTGTTAGGTGCAGCAAAATTTGAATAACTCTCTGTGTTAGGTGTGGAAGTGACAACGACCCCCAAACAATATTATGCCAACTTTAGGCATTGTCAATTGTCAATGTTGCGAACTTACTTCTTATTTGGGTATATGTAATGTTAAAAATTCCATTGTTTAGTAAATTAATGCATGCAATATGTCTATTTTGTGTGTAGCTCTCATGGTGATTTTATCAATATGATTATGACGATCACCTCAATAAAATTTAGAGAATATTAATTATTCACACCTTTTCAGGAAATTCTCTACTAGTACTGTATATATGCACGCAGGCTGAAGATCAGAAAAATATTCCTGGCGAATAAATTTAAAAAACGATATGGAAAGAAAAAGAAACAAGACAGTTGGTTTCTAGCTACTATATACGTCATTTAAAGTTTTTTTTTAAAAAAAGAAAAATATTATAAATGATGTCGTAAGCCGTCTAAATTGAAACTCTAGACACATATTGGAAAACCAAAGCATATATTATATAGTCAACAAACATATTGCAGGAGATTTGTTTTTTTTTAATTCTCGACATTGGAAGAAGATAATAATAATAATTTTTTTTTATTCCCTCTCTCATACAAAGGTTGTTTAACGCTTGTTGACTCATGAAGTGAATAAGGAGAAACGGTGGATGGCCAAACTTCCTTAAGGAATAGTACTTTTATAGTAAGAATTGCGTGATGGAGTATACGCTTGCAATTAAGTAGATAACGTTTCTAGTAACCAAAATAAGTACTGCATGAAGCAGCTACTTCCTCTCTATTCTCAAATCCCAATGTACTATATAATATAGATATACACACACACACACACACACACACACATATATATATATATATATGCTATATGCCCAATTCTCAACTCCGGAGTTATCATAAGGTGGTGATATTTATGATTAGTAATAGGCCTTGAAGGGCATGCATATAATAATATGGCTTCGCTTGTATTGTTTGTAGAAGCCTTAGTGCTACTCCAAGGTGATGGTTATGATGATGGTAATTGGCCAATTAACGAGGCGTCGATGAAGCAAGTAGAAGCAGGCGAATGCTGGGACGGTCATGGATTGTGGGGGATTCTGAGGCAGCAGCTGGCTGATTTTGGCACATGGCAAATAGCTGATCACTCTAGCGTTTGGCCGTAGAAATTAACCACTACATATCCACTACTATTATATATATATACCGATCACAATATCCTCTTTCCAAATATATATATATATATATATCCCAACTGTTACATATACATTTCCAAATATATATCCCAACTGTTATATATACATGATATATATATGGTGTTGAGTCGGCCATGTGTATGATGTATCATTTAGTACCACAGATCAACCTTCTTTCTCTTCCCCATGGCTCATTTTAAATGCATGTAATTTCCCTTATAACTGCTTTATATGTGTGTGTGTGTCTATATTCTCAATCACCGCCGTGTATGAAAGCTCAAATATATATAAGTGCATTTCATTTACTTGGCCTACAAATTTAAAACGGAAGATTCTGATTTTCTTTGGATGCCACAACTGTAAACTTAAATCTTAAACGATCTAAACATGCTTCTAATGTTATATAGACATGATATATATATGGTGTTGAGTCGGCCATGTGTATGATGTATCATTTAGTACCACAGATCAACCTTCTTTCTCTTCCCCATGGCCCATTTTAAATGCATGTAATTTCCCTTATAACTGCTTTATATGTGTGTGTGTGTCTATATTCTCAATCACCGCCGTGCATGAAAGCTCAAATATATATAAGTGCATTTCATTTACTTGGCCTACAAATTTAAAACGGAAGATTCTGATTTTCTTTGGATGCCACAACTGTAAACTTAAATCTTAAACGATCTAAACATGCTTCTAACAAACTCAATAGCATTTAGATCAATATTGCAGAATAGAATCGAATTGAAAGCATACCTCCGGCCATTGATAACTTCTTACGCTTGACAGATATTTAACTCGGATTTGGCGCTTCTAATCCTCACTCAATCTCAAATAGATGGTGTATTTTACTGAATAAGATTGAAAGGCTTAGGGACCAACGGAAGGAAATGCACTCGTATATATATGTATACTCAGTCCATCACAGAATATTCTTAATCGTGCACAACACGTGGGCAGTGGTTATGGACGGTTTTCGAACGTTATTCGCGTCCCTACAAAGTGGAAGATATGGGCCACTATAACGGTAAGTTAGTTTCCTAATATTAAGGGAAAAAATCTTACATTCTCCCACTTGGTCCATATATTCCATCATTTATCTCAATAAGAAACAAAATACATGAATCATGGCGATAGATCCTCTTAAAATGAGTATTATCTTTCATGTATCACAATGCATCATGTCTCTTAAACACTAGCCCATGCAACTTAATGAATAAACCCTATGTTTATTCCAGGTCCAAACAATAATGTTATTTCTCAAAATAAATGTGTACACTAGAAAAAACAAATATGAGAAAACATCACAATTAGAGTTTCATTGAAAATAACATTCGTTCTTACAACGAAAATCACATAAAGGAACCAAGTCCCATTCTATCTACATGATCCTTAAA